TGCTTGTGCGATGGGGTGAAGTTTGAATTCACTTAGTATTGTTTGTTTGGATCTTCCCATCGATGTGTTTAGGACTGCAACTGGTCAGTCTCTAATTGGCATATGTGCATACTGTGCGTATTGCCTCGATATACCTTAATTCACAAGCATGGTAAGCAGAGATGGATAGTGGCTAGCAGTGGAATCCAGGACGCGCGTTTCGTCCTATTTGGGACTCGTCAGCTGGATGTACCTGCATCTCAGAGTTGATGTTCACTCTGGGACTCGAACCCAGTACCCTCGCTTCAAACGCCATCGCGTTATCCACTCGGCCACTGAATCCTGATAGCCACTTGCTTGTGCGATGGGGTGAAGTTTGAATTCACTTAGTATTGTTTGTTTGGATCTTCCCATCGATGTGTTTAGGACTGCAACTGGTCAGTCTCTAATTGGCATATGTGCATACTGTGCGTATTGCCTCGATATACCTTAATTCACAAGCATGGTAAGCAGAGATGGATAGTGGCTAGCAGTGGAATCCAGGACGCGCGTTTCGTCCTATTTGGGGTATTTAAGGTATATCGAGGCAATACGCACAGTATGCACATATGCCAATTAGAGACTGACCAGTTGCAGTCCTAAACACATCGATGGGAAGATCCAAACAAACAATACTAAGTGAATTCAAACTTCACCCCATCGCACAAGCAAGTGGCTATCAGGATTCAGTGGCCGAGTGGATAACGCGATGGCGTTTGAAGCGAGGGTACTGGGTTCGAGTCCCAGAGTGAACATCAACTCTGAGATGCAGGTACATCCAGCTGACGAGTCCCAAATAGGACGAAACGCGCGTCCTGGATTCCACTGCTAGCCACTATCCATCTCTGCTTACCATGCTTGTGAATTAAGGTATATCGAGGCAATACGCACAGTATGCACATATGCCAATTAGAGACTGACCAGTTGCAGTCCTAAACACATCGATGGGAAGATCCAAACAAACAATACTAAGTGAATTCAAACTTCACCCCATCGCACAAGCAAGTGGCTATCAGGATTCAGTGGCCGAGTGGATAACGCGATGGCGTTTGAAGCGAGGGTACTGGGTTCGAGTCCCAGAGTGAACATCAACTCTGAGATGCAGGTACATCCAGCTGACGAGTCCCAAATAGGACGAAACGCGCGTCCTGGATTCCACTGCTAGCCACTATCCATCTCTGCTTACCATGCTTGTGAATTAAGGTATATCGAGGCAATACGCACAGTATGCACATATGCCAATTAGAGACTGACCAGTTGCAGTCCTAAACACATCGATGGGAAGATCCAAACAAACAATACTAAGTGAATTCAAACTTCACCCCATCGCACAAGCAAGTGGCTATCAGGATTCAGTGGCCGAGTGGATAACGCGATGGCGTTTGAAGCGAGGGTACTGGGTTCGAGTCCCAGAGTGAACATCAACTCTGAGATGCAGGTACATCCAGCTGACGAGTCCCAAATAGGACGAAACGCGCGTCCTGGATTCCACTGCTAGCCACTATCCATCTCTGCTTACCATGCTTGTGAATTAAGGTATATCGAGGCAATACGCACAGTATGCACATATGCCAATTAGAGACTGACCAGTTGCAGTCCTAAACACATCGATGGGAAGATCCAAACAAACAATACTAAGTGAATTCAAACTTCACCCCATCGCACAAGCAAGTGGCTATCAGGATTCAGTGGCCGAGTGGATAACGCGATGGCGTTTGAAGCGAGGGTACTGGGTTCGAGTCCCAGAGTGAACATCAACTCTGAGATGCAGGTACATCCAGCTGACGAGTCCCAAATAGGACGAAACGCGCGTCCTGGATTCCACTGCTAGCCACTATCCATCTCTGCTAACCTTATACGTAGGACAAAATAAGTAGAGAAATGTACAAATTTGTTAACTGATCAGTTATTTTTTGTATGAATACTTCTATACTTCAATGAACTTTTATTATGGGAACAACAAAATCAAATGTAAAATTTAATTTGTTTGTAGATAACTTATTATTTAAATACTTGTTATATTAGTGTCGAGACATAATCCATGCGATGTTATTGCAGTAGTAGTAGTAGTAGTGTAGTGTTAAAAGTAAAATATAATTGGTTTAGCCTCTAATACACAACTAATACAGAATTGGTTTTATTTATTTATTTATTTAAACACATAAATATTGGTACAAGGAAGCACCAGATAAATATGCGCCACACAAATCTCATTTGATTTGTGTGAGGGCTGTGATACTGCCCAGGTGCCCAAACTGAAGCAGGTGGTTTTCTTAATGGCCCACACCCGGAGCCTTTGACGTGAAGGTCTAGTCCACAAGGTAGTGGAGCATCGTAAGGAGATGCCGTCCCATGGTAGCCGGTGACCAACGATTGATTCATACGCCATTCGTTCAATCAGGATACTGGAGCCCATGTTCACCATTGGTTTGGAATCAGGGTTTTCCAACTTCCCTACGTGGACTTTCCGTGTCCACCAACCCGGTTAAAGCGCCGAACATTCGCTTTTCGTCCTCTCAACTTCGTAAACAACAGTAATGTCACTGTGAGAAGGCAGTGAGTAGGACTTCCTTGACAGAGGCTATATATTCGCGTGGCCGTATGAGAGCATTTCGAGAGGGAGAGCGGACTCTCCCCACTCTCAGCCGTACCAGGGCATTTGGGGCACAGAATTGGTATTGAATAACATAAAGAAGTTACAAATGACAACCACAAAAGCATCAACGTGTAGTCTTTGTCTATGAAAAAGCTATTTACTCATTTAAAACACTACTTCACTATGCATATATTTGTAACTTATGTAAACAATTTAATAGATCGATTGTCTCATTAAGTTTGATTAGTTCAGTGGATTATCCTATAGAATTTTTATGGTTAACATCGTGGACTGATTTTAGTTCACCACTAAAACCCAGAAAGCACTGGATAACTTTTTTGTCCTAGTATGAGGCTCCTTAATTCCACGTCCCGATTATTTATTACTTCTATTAGAACAATTGCGTCCCTGCGTTGAGTTAATCAATGATTAAAAAGTATAAACATCTGTTGCTTTTTACTTTTCCCTCTTGGAATATTCATGGTTAGCTACCCTTTTTAAACAAACTATTTTATTATTTAAGTGATATAGTTTTGTCAAGATTTCTTGTTTATTTTAAGTGTGATTTCATTTAGAGTACTATTGAATTTCCCGGATTTCCAGTAAAAGGTCTTTACTTTTGCAGTTAGTCAAGTTAAAAAATAGGATGTTTATTAGGTAGCTGTCACTATATTTAGGTGGCTTTTTTTCTCTGACTTGGATGGTTTGGTCGTGAACCTTTCATTGTATTTCTGAACAACGCATGTGTCGTCATCAAAAAGGACGAGCTGGAAAACACCTAAAATCTTATAAATAACGTTTTTGATGACATGAAACTCACAATGGAAAAGGAGTTGAACAACAAATTATCATTTTGGATGTATTAATCACTAAAACCGACACAAGGAAACTGGAGACTCAGGTATATCGAAAGCCGACCCACACAGACCGAATTTTCTTTTACAGTAGTAACAACTCAAGAACTCAAAAATCAACTGCGTACAAACTTTATTCAAGAGGGCGAAAACACGATGTAGCTCACTTGCAGTGCGGGAAAATGAAGGAAAATATCCAGTGACTACCCTTCAAAAAACTGCTTCCTAAGCAACTTCAAAAAATATCAACCAAACTCATCAGCAGAAACAAAATCAAGTGCAAAAGCCAACAAACGGATCATCCTACCATACATAAATGACATATCGGGAGTTACAACGAGATTAGTGAAGCCGTTTGGAATAGGTTTAGCACACAAACCAACAAAATCACTTCAATCAATCCTATGCAAACCATAGGATAAAATGATAAAAGAAGAAAATCCGAACATCGTCTACAAAATAAGTTGTTCCAACTGCGAAAAGCACTACATCGAACAAAGTGGAAGACTCCTTTATCTCCTCCCATACGAACATCAATTAGTGGTCAAACGTCGTGACATATCCTCGCTTATATTAATTCATGTGGACAACTGTGTACATGCATTCGACTAGAAAAATGTTGAGGTCTTGGATAGAGGCAATTCTAAAAACACCAGAGAATTTTTAGAAGCTTGGGACTCAGGTCAATCAGTAATCAACAAACAGATTGAAATCGATCCAATTTATCAACCAATCAGAAAAATCATAAGCAAATATAGGACCAATAGTCAAATCAATGGGAGATACAGCCAAAATAAAAAAAGTAAACAATGACAGTTTAAAAGTTAACAATAACCCATGAAGATCGAGGTCTACAGGAAAACCTGTCAGTCATATATGGAGAAATTTGAACACTTCACATCTACCTTAAGTTTGTGCTGATGGTGTTGTTCATAAGAACGATGCAAGCTCCACGACCGAAGTATCTAGCTTAGAGAACAAAAGTCAACCTAAATCATCCACCTGAGCTACAAGTCATCCCCACCATTACTCTGTATTTCATAAAGATCGGGTTTTTAAATGTGAATTGATGGATATCAGTGAATCGATCTAAGCAAATCGTAATTTCTGTAAAACTTCAAAACCATCTGTTCGATTATCTGTTATCACATCCTTCCGAGATGGTGCTGTATGAACGTGTGGTAAAAGATAACTGATATTTATCTGTGAACTCTTTTTATCTTCGATTGTCGACTAGTAATTAATACACCCTAGCAACAATAAACAGTTATGGACACATTTCGTTGTCAAGATGAAATAATATATTTGAAAAACGGTAACAACCACTTGAGAGTGTCTTCAATGACAGTGACTAAAGAGTAATCATGGGGTGGCTAACCATAATTTATCCCTTAAAAGAATTTAGCAGCGTGAAGCATGGTGTTGAAAGAAACTCTATGGGTTACAGTAGTTCCTTATCGCTATAATACTTTAGATCTTGATATTGTCTACTTATTACATTTCCCTGATTTTGTTTTATTGTTAAATCTCAGGTGATTTTAGAACCATATTTTGGTGGTACACTGCCAGGTTGGCGACCACGTCGTCTTGGTGGTGGATTAGGTGGTCGTAAAGAAGCTGGGCAGTTACGATTTGGCGGAATCGCTCGTCCTTTTAGACGTCCGTTCTGTGCAAGTAATGCGTCTTTGATGGAAAAGAAAACAAAGTTTCACAGAGATTAAGTTTTATTTTCTTAGAAAATTACAACTAATTTACACATATGCTCGTCGAAGTATTGATGTGAATATCTAAATGTTTCCATTTGTATTTCTTGGCTGTTATTCTTTTATATTTTTCCTATATTTTTAACATGGTTTTTGGATTTCGGGGAATGTGTAACTGATATTATATACCAGAGTCTCATTGATAGAAGAGTGAATGACTTACGAAATTGATTTCCTCCAACCTCCTACCAAATAATCATGTCCATTTTTCTGTTAATATTCCGTATATAGGCATATTGTTTTTAAAAGAAATTTATTCTATTGGGCAACTGCATTGTTTTCGTATATCGGTCCAACCGAGGGTTCATGTCAATAATTCATTCTTATAAGTAGCTACCATCCAACCGAATCATTTCGTTGAATATTAGCGATTGTTTGGTGCATTTTATACATTAACCTGATAATTACCAAACATCTTTTGACCTATACTGACAATCATCATGTGCTCACTAGTAACTGGCTTCAAGAGGTAGAGGTATTTCTGGGAGTTTTAGTGAGAAGCCGTGACCAGTAGAGTTCAACCGTGTCGGATGTGAGGCAGTTACCCGCTGAACACAATGGTAGATGGTCACCCAATTTTGTAGATTGGTCGGAGTTAGACATCGTCGGATGCCGGCTCAGTGGTCTAGAGGTTAATTGATGGCACATGAGATTGGAGGTCCTGAGTTCAAGTCCCATAAGTAGGGTCGTGTTAAACACTCCTGAGGAGTCCCGCCCCAGAACAAAACGGCCTTTTATGTTTTCAGTTCTGGTTTAACATTGATCGGTTCATGGTCTCAGTGAAAAGCAAAAAAGGCTAATTCAGTTCGGTAATAACTGATAACCAGATTTTCGTTTTGGCGAATAATTTCTTCTTTATATATTACAATATATACTACTGTATTTTTCCTTTTTTTAACTAAAATTTTGTACAACTGAAAGTCTATTAATCTAGAAATAATTTGAAATATAGAAACTGTAAGTCAGTTTAATGCTTTATACTAACTAAACACAATCCCGTTTTATTAGGCTTTAAACAAGTCCTATTCGGTAATATCTAACTACCAAGATTATTTAATGCGATTCTCGATTAAGACGTAGCATCGGTCTATAAAGTCATTGGCTGTTTAAGGATAAACCACAGAATCTTCACAATCAATATTATCCAGGCCAAAGGAAACAACGACGAATGAAGATGAGTAAGACGTCATCTGCGGAATAAACTATAACGACCGGGAGGAACACTTACTTACGCTTGTTACTCCCAATGGAGCATAGGCCGTCGACCAACATTCTCCAACCCATGGGAGGAACACTACATAGAATAAAATGGCCACCATCTATGCCTATGTGAAACATTTAGTTGTAAAACTCCATGGAGTAGCTTCAATTATTCCGTTACTTGTGAACAACTTTGGGCATGAGTCTGGTTGAGAAAGTATCGAAATATTGATCGGGGAAACAAATAAGTTTTAGAAACTCAGCACCCTGAACACGTATCGAAATCAACTCAATCTGTTATTCAATAAGAGAAAACCTTAACAATACGGTCGGAGATCAGGTCAAGAGTGATAATTACTAGAAAAATAACCACACATAAACAACAACCGACCAAAATTTAGGTCAACAAAACAAGCTGTTGGTTGATTCTGGGAAAATTTTAATGAGCTTATTTTTTTAAGATATGTGCCGATGATTTTGTCATGACAGACGACGAGGATTTCAAAATCAAACCATTCCGCTCTTATAATAGATCACCTCAGAGGAGATTCTGTCAGTTAGTATTTGAATAGAACTCTTAGTGCGTTCAGCAACAATTAGACTTAAAAATCCCGTTGTATTGAACAAATGAAAAATATCTAGATTTGAGGCAGATAGGGCCTTTAAAATTATCTCATATAAATCTAAAATTGTTATTGTCAAAATGACTATTATGTAATTCAAAATTGAATAAGTGAGAAAGATTTTAAAACTAAAATGACCTCATTCGATGTACTGTTAATAGAAAAAGCTGATGGAGCATTAGGAAAGGATCTGAACAACAAAGTTACTTGAACAGGAGTGTATGCGTATTACCTAATGAAAGAATTGCTTAGATTAGCTCTTTTTGTATTTATCCAACCCACTACTCCAGTGGAGTAATTTACGTTACCAAGTTTTCTAGGAATTTACATTCTCGTGTTCTCGAGCATCTTTCAGGACGGCTAACCAAATATATAGTTAAGAGTATAAACAGCTCATATTCAATCCATTTAGTTCAGTCGAGTCATAAAGCCAGCATAAGTAGTTTTTTATAGTTTATCATGTTAGTAATTATCCCCTAAAGTCCGTCAAACTTCAAGTTCTTCAAACGATAAAAACAGCCATACGGGTTAAGAAACTGGAGCTTTTGGTGCAGAATAATAATACTCAACTATTTATCTTACATAGAACGATATCATTCCCAGTAGATCGATATTCGTTTTGATTGAAAAAATGACCTTTAACCGATGTACATATAGCCACTCTTTATATTATCGTAACTGGATTTATCTCGTGCAAATGTCGTTGTTGTTATCATTATTATTCACATATTTGTTCTAATCATTATAATTATTAATCTTTTAAGCACAAATAATCTAATTAACACTCACTCATCTTTATTATTTGATCTGATTTGTTAAAACGTTATTTCTCTTACCCTATATTATCTGCATATTTGTTTTGACTGTTGGTCTTACGATTTCCTTTTAAACTATAAACATATTCAAGTTACTATTACATAATAGTTTTATTAATAGTCTATTGAGTTTGTTATATTAAACTTTGTAGATCTCTGGCCTAATGACAATGATAGTTTAGATTTATCCACAGGTTCAAACCCCACTTTACCTAATTAGGTTTAGATTACCGAGTAGTGTCACTATAGCTAGTGGAGTAAATAAACATATACATGGTAAATTTTAAACAAAAAGATAAAATATGAAGTGGCATATTTAAACTAAACAACGACGACAATATTTTTAGCATAAGATCAATTCGTTATATTTTGTTACTTTCTATTCTACCATAAACAAACTGATAATTTTAATTATTTCCACTTGTTAACATAATTTTAAGTATTGGGTTGTGGAGATTGTTGAGATATGAGCAAAACAATCACTGAGAACCTAGACAGCTGTTTAATCAGAGTGTTGTAATCCTCAAAAATACCCACTCACGTCCCCACTACGTAAGATCGAATCCAGATCCTTTGTTATCGTGAACATTTAACACATAGTCCACTGAGCTGGAATCCAGTTATATGTAAGTCTAACTTCAATCTGTTAAATCTACGGTCCCATTGTTTATACTTGAAAACGAGGAACCAGTACAATTCTCACGATGGGAGGTAATAACACGGAAGACTAGTGCAACAAAGATTTATTGACTCTCCAAAAACATGACGACCAATTTAGAGCAAATACACTCGTACTGATTTTATATACACTTGATAGTTGGTTAGTAACATCACATAAATGTGAAGATACATAAGTTTACTATAAAGACAAAGTTGACAGAGAATATAAATGTTACCCCATATAAAGTTCATACCTGTCATACTGAACAAAGATTTACACTTAATTGGTACGAAACATGTTGACTTGAAATAATATCACATAGAAAATATAAATCCAATATTGTGCTGACTAAAATGTTATACTGAGGATAAAACCAATGTCGACGGTCACACTAAAAATAAGCTAATATTTACTGAATAAAATGTTACGTTGAGAATAATGTCACAAGAATAAAAATTAATGTCAGAAATGTTATTCTAAGTTACAAAGAAGATATGGACTTACCTACTTATCCCGACATCACAAACAATATTCAGTGGCCATATTTAATTGTCTTAGGAAGGTACCCACCTTTGTCTAGAGGTTAGAAATTCACGAGACCGGAAATCTCGGATCCAATCCCACGTTTTGGGATCGTGGATTTCTGAGGCTTTCATACAAGAATGAAACGGCCACTCAATACTTTTTAGCTTACAGTGGGTGTCTAACTTGGGTAATTTAAAAAATAAAACTCAACAATCTTCACAAACTCACTAGACTAATAGTGATAAATCGGTCGAATTAATAATTATTAGGACTGTTAATGTCTTCATGTAGAGTAGTGTTGTTTTGGTAGCTAAATTTACTGATGATGAACAGAAAAGAAACTTTTACATCTTATTAATTCAAAATATTCGTTCACATGTTACTATCTTATGAGTACTATGGTACCTATTTTATCACCAATACTCTTTATTCAGTGAATACTCCTCGATCACTGTCTAAAGTATATCAACATGAACTAATACACATTTGTATTCATTCACATATTATATTATGCCAAGAAACCAGGTTTGTTATTAATTTACCAAATAACAATTCTAGTTACTTTGTAAAAAGAGATTACTATTGGGCTTTTCTCATAATAAATTTATTCATGCGGGTGTAGATTTATCGATTGTTCGAAATCAAATTGAATTTACTTCAAGGTATTGATTTATATCATAATGGCTTTATTAATATGTAGGTTAACTTTAGAATTAAATGTGAGCAGTGAATTTTTCTTATTTAAGTTTTGTTAAAATACAACACCATACTCATTATCATTCTGTTGTATCCCGAAGAGAATTGTAAATGGTAACTTTTGAGGACTATTTATGGACCAATGTGATATGTATATTTCCTGTTGTATAATTGCTAAGTAACTTAACTATTCATATTCATGTTCCTCTTATTATAAGCTTTATTTTGACTCATAAACTATTATAATACGATTTACTATTGTTTAGTTATACCCAGTCTATTGATTACTGTTTCCCTTATTCACAGCCACTTTTGGCTAAATCTTGTATAAATGTTATTTTCTATTTTATGGTACGATGTGGTCTTTGTTTGGCATATAAACCCAGTATGTTTGTGAATAATGATTCATATTGCAGAGGCTGTTATTGGTGTTCTGGA